GAGAAGAAGAAAAAAATAGTTTCTTTTAAAAATACTTTTTCTAAATACACTTTTGAAAAAAATACACTTAAAAGTACTTTTTAAAAGTTTGACCAAATATTAATTGGTGCTCAAAAGTGTTTTTAAATTGATTAGCCAAACATAAAATGTTTTTCACTAAAATTATTTTTTTGAAAAGCATTTTTGAAAAATTTATTTTTTAAAAATAAGTTAATTTTAGAAGCACGGCCAAACACAGTACTATTACACAGCTAGCAATCGAAGCTTCATTGGGAGGGGCGAATTTTCTACCGCACGGGCATTATGATATTTTTTTTTTAATTGTGCCATTCATGATATATTTATGGAGAAGTTTGATATATTCCAGTTCTGTTTTTAAAAAATTAAAAGAAATGAGAGATGTGGAGTAAAGAGTTCATATAGTTGAAAACTGTTGTTAAAAAAAATCTATCACAATGATGTAGCGAGTGTAGTTACGTTGTGTTCCAGATGTACTAATTAACTTAAAATCTTGAATTAACACGTAGATTCACGCCTTTATTTTTACGTAAGATTATATCAACTTAAGCAGCAGCAACAACAACAACAACCCAGTAAAATCCCACTAATGGGGTCTGGGGAGGGTAGTGTGTACGCAGACCTGTAGAGAGGCTGTTTTCGAAAGATCCTCGGCTCAAGAAAACAAAAAGACAAAAGGAGACAATATTAGTATCACCACATAATTATATCAACTTAAGCCTAATGATATATTTGATTTCGTAAATGACCATATGAGAGGTTATTGTAAACCATGTGATTGAATTGAGATTGGATTGCGTAATTCACTAACTCACATAAAACCTCAAGATGACAACCTCATCTATTATTTATATGCTTGAAATTAAGTTACTTTCATTTCATTCTACATGCTCATTAGCATGGGGAAAATCATGGAGTCTGAAGCTGAGCAGCCTCTGTTGGCTGGTCATGGAGCAAGCTCCGAGCTTGAGGAGGTTCTCTCCGACTCCCAATTACCTTACTTTCAACGCCTTAGGTCCGCCTCTTGGATCGAATTCCAGCTTCTTTTTCGACTTGCAGCCCCTGCAGTAGCTGTTTACATGATCAACAATGCTATGTCCATATCTACTCGGATATTTTCAGGACAACTTGGGAACCTTCAACTTGCAGCAGCCTCTCTTGGCGATCAAGGCATCCAATTATTTGCTTATGGCCTTATGGTAGTGTATTTTTATTATCTCTGATTTTCTTTCTCAATTGATCACATGTATAAATATTCTAAACTATTTTTTTTCCCTTATTGATTGCAGCTAGGAATGGGGAGTGCAGTGGAAACACTTTGTGGACAAGCATATTGAGCTCACAGACATGAAATGCTAGGAGTTTATCTGCAAAGATCAACAGTAGTACTTTCCTTAACAGGGATTCCACTAGCAGTTGTGTATTTGTTTTCCAAGAATTTACTGCTCGCTCTTGGCGAAGCAAAACCAGTGGCATCAGCAACATCAGTATTTGTGTATGGCCTAATTCCTCAAATATTTGCTTACGCCGTCAACTTCCCTATACAGAAATTCTTGCAATCTCAGAGTATTGTAGCCCCTAGTGCCTTTATTTCTCTTGGGACTTTGTTTGTGCACTTATTGCTCAGTTGGATTGTTGTGTACAAAATTGGACTGGGATTAATAGGAGCGTCACTTGTGCTGAGTTTTTCTTGGTGGATTGTTGTGGTGGCTCAATTTATATACATATTGAGAAGTGAAAGGTGTAAAGCTACTTGGACAGGTTTTCGATGGGAGGCCTTTAGTGGATTATGGCAATTTGTGAAGTTATCGGCTGCTTCAGCTGTTATGTTGTGTTTGGAGACTTGGTATTTTCAGATTCTATTGTTGCTTTCTGGTTTACTCAAGAATCCTCAGCTTGCCTTGGATTCTATCTCTGTTTGGTGAGATTTTGTAGCCTTCTATTTATTTGTATGCTACCAAAAACAGCATATCTGTTCATGATCCCATAAGACCAGTTAGTTGTCAGAGTGGCAACATCAAGAACTTCCACTACAGTAAAAGGCTAATTTGTTGTTAATCAATTGTGGCTTGATCTTCTTGGCCAACATTTAGCAGTGGTACCCTAAGTGTCCACTGTTTTTTGAATTTTGGATCCGCTTCTGTTATCTTGCAAAGTTTCAGTGACTTGCTAGTTGCTAATGAGCCAAAGACTGTCTTTGTTTTAATTTTGTAGCATGGCAGTGAATGGGCTGATGTTAATGGTTTCAGTGGGGTTCAATGCTGCTGCTAGGTAAGTTTTCTTGATTAATATTTGAACCAATTAATCTTTTTGTGTAATATCCATTTCTAGATAAAAATATTAGGTGGTATTTTAGCAAATGACTTTCATCTTACTTGTTGTAAAAATTGGCAAACTGAATCAGTGTAAGGGTGAGCAATGAGTTAGGAGCAGCACATCCAAAGTCAGCAGCATTCTCAGTGTTTGTGATGACATTCATTTCATTTCTCATAGCTGTGGTGGAAGCCATAATTGTGCTGTGTTTGCGCAATGTTATCAGCTATGCATTCACTAAGGGTGAAACTGTGGCCAATGCGCAGTATTTGATTTGTCCATTTTTAGCTGTCACCCTCATTCTCAATGGTGTCCAGCCAGTGTTATCTGGTAAGATACATGTCTTGTCGTTAATCTCATTAATTATAAGATTTATTTATATACTGATATTGTAAAGAATTTTCTCGTTATCAGTATAATTTAACCTATTATAGCAGATTGCATGTCTTGTTCTTTAGGTTATTAATCTCATGAATATATTCATGAGTAGTTAGTTATATGTCGTTAAATATTCTTTTACACAATAATTAAACTCTTTAAGTCACTGCTTCTTCTCGCTTTATACCAGATATATGCCATGTCAATATTAATTACATGTTGCATGGGAGGGTAGAGCCCATTGTCTGGAACTGATCGTTAAATATATACATTGTTCGAGTCGAAAAATGAATTACTTTATAATCTACAAAATCCTCTCTACTCTAAATCCACCTCTCCTGGATCTTTACTCAACTTTCCTGCTCCCTCTCCCACCATCGAGGGGGGAAAGTTAGACTAAAATTAAAAATTAGAAATAAAAGTTTTCTGAAGTTTTTTCTTTTTCTAATGTTGCTTTCTATTCAAAGAAGAGCAAGGTGCTTAGCTGATCTAATATGTTGATTTCATCTTTACTCGATCTCCTACGCATATGGAGTAGTTGGAAGGAACTTTGCTTTCCCAATTTGGTCTTAAATGGTCCAATGAACTTTTTTTGTTTTTCGTTCTTAAGTGCTCAATAAGCTTGTCATCACTTTCTCGGATGAGAGTGACAAATATGAGAAAAAGACACCATAAGCACAACAAATAAGGTAGACAATTTGACTTGACAAAAAAGTGATATCACAGGCCTTCTTATTGAATCCATCTTTCAGTACAGCGACTCATGTACTCCTTTTGAGATAAGAATGTAAAAGGTGCCATCTAAGTTGTCTCAATATATATATTCTTAAGTTGAGGTCCATAATCTGGACTTAGTGCGATGAGATAGTGTAGTAGACGTACCTAAAGGACTTTCAAATTTTCTTGTTTTCTTCTTGCCCTCTATCCACCCATCACGTGTCAAAATTATGCAGTGGGTGAAAGATTATCAATTTATCATGCCCCTCTAATACAAACCTTTTTAATCCTAATTTGTTTTCATTTGGAATTCAACAGTTTGTTTGGCTTGCATAACGAACATTGTATATGGAAAATATTTCATCTATGTCCATACTGTTACATAGGTAGATCAAATTGTTAGGTGTACCTCCATCTTGCGCACCTGTCCATTGGTCCCCTACCAACTAATGTTTTCCTTTGACAAGTCCATGGACTTGAGCATATTTTAGTTTCTGTAGATTCACGTGTTTAGCTGCAAGTTAACCATAATTATCTCAAACGAAATTTGTACTTGTTCTTTTACAATTTTGTTTCACCCTATAAGCGTACCAACGTTACTATTAATTAAACTAATAAAAACCGTATCGTCCAACTTCATAAAAAAGTTGAATTTTCTATATTTTTCAGGTGTTGCTGTTGGCTGTGGCTGGCAAGCGTTTGTTGCCTACGTGAATGTAGGGTGTTATTATGGTGTAGGAATTCCAGTGGGATGTCTTCTTGGATTCAAATTTGACCTTGGTGCTAAGGTTTTTCAATGCACACAATTCATAATTCTAGAAGCCTTCTATTTTTATACATATTTTAAAACAAACACATATGAGTTATGAGTATGTGTATGTCCATAGCCTGGCTTGCGTGACAGGGTAACTGGATTAATGGCAGGGAATTTGGACTGGGATGATTGGAGGGACTGTGATGCAAACCATCATTTTGCTTTGGTTCACATACCGTACAGATTGGAATAAAGAGGTAACTTACAGTCAATAGTTACAAAATTGCACAAGAAAGTGGTAAAGTTTGTATTGAATTTGGGATTCTTTTTTCTTTTCCAGGTAGAGAAAGCTAGAACACGTCTGGACAAATGGGAAAACGTAAAAGAACCTCTAAACAAGGAATGAAGGCGGTGAAGAACATTATGACTAAGAATAAAACGGGGAGAAGAAGTTCCAAGTAATTCTTGCAGTAACCTGCAAGGGCAACGAAGTGATCTACAGTTCAGATTAACCAATTGTTCTGGTGTATCTGACAAAAGAAAGTTTCACTTATCATTCCATTCAATCAATTCCCATCAATTAATCACATCAAATCTGTCAAAACCATTGTCTGGATCTGCCGATTTCTTATTTGATTGTGTTATAAAGAGCGTTAAATCAACTCCAATTCTGAAATTAGGCCAACAACGTGCAATCAAATTGATAATATGAGCATCTAAACAGGGAACAAATGAACACACTGAACGCAGTAACGCCCTATGCTTACAATTTTGCTCTAACACTCATGTAAGCCTAGATAGATTAAGAAAGGCAACTACATTGCATATGAAGAGTATTTGCACTACTCACAACAGAGAACAATAACAACTGTTTACAAAAAAAATCTTTAGTTTGTTTCTTAATGTCCAAGTACAAAATGTTTCTCATATCCAGCGTATGCTCCCTCCTATGAGCGGTTAAAATCAACAAAAGCAGCAGAAACTCTGCATATAATCAATTTATATTTTGAGGCGACTAAGGTAACACGGTGACTTGGGGATCCATATTATAAAGAACACAAAATTTGCATAGACAACAAAATAATGCTACCCAAAATAGAGAATGACTTGATTTTAAGTACCAGAGATAACTCTCAATAAGCCTCTGGTGGGTGAGATGTACTCAGCCTCAATCACAATTAATCTGATCATTTGTCATGCCTGCTCCCATATTTGTTACTCGTGCAGCTTAATCAACATCCATGTCATCCTCCCTTTTACTTCTGGGATCCGAGCCTGAACCATCTTCAGTTTTTTGGGGAGATGACTTGTGCCTCATTACATGCTTGCACATCCTGAAATGTGTTTCACAATATTATTGCACAATAGGCAAGGAGAAAACACAAAAGATGCAGCAGAAATCAATAAGCTGCATATCTCTCAAGAGTACTTGCTAGGCTCTTCCTAATTGGGTCTTAACCATAACTCCTAACCAATCAATCTTAAAATTCTAACTAATTAGTTAAGAAGTAAGAGTAAAGTGGCTTTGCTTTCAGGGAAGCGACTCTTTTATGTATGTGATAAGTGTAGGCAGAATGATGACGCCTTCTCAAAGTCTGAAAAAGAGTGATGGCGTACATGTGTGCCTGTGGGTGTGTGGTATACCTAGATACATACTAATTAGTATCATAAAAGAATTTTCCCTGGATTTTCAAAACGAACACAACTAGGGTACAACTCCAGCCAAAGAGCATGAAACAGGTGCTAACGCAAAATTATATCTTCTCTTCAAATATCATCATCTTTATAAAACAATCTAACTGCCTGTCCACCCAAATTTCAAAAATTAATATTTTGCTTACCCAGTAAAAGAATATCACACAAATATGAGTACAAAAGGATAACAGCTTGACAGGAAAGAATTGCACCTAGAAACAGATGTGGTTTTTTCTTATCAAAAGAAACAGATTTATTTTAAATAACTAATTGCAGATTTAAGAAAAAAGGATAACTTTCAAATCTGCTCCATTTCAAGAATGGAAATAATGTAAAATTACTCATAAAATATTTCCTTATCTTCTGCAAGTATACAGAATGTACTAAATAACAATTTGCTGTTTCCTGAGTTGATTCACTACAATATTTAAGATGAGTAATCATAAAAAGAAGAATTTTCAAGATTGAATAAAATAGGTAACTTTGGCCGAGTCATTCTTAAAAACTTGAAAATTGGACAAAAGAAAAAAAAACAGATAGATGGAATAACTTAGGCAAATTAACTTAATGAGATGGTTACTGATCGTGTCAAGAATGCAACCTAGTAATTTATACCCCTAAACTATGAAGAAACAGACGTTTCTTTAAAATAATTAATTGCAGATATAAGAAAAGGGATAACTTTCAACTCTGCTCCATTTCAGGAAATGAAATAAATGTAAATTTACTCAGAATTTTATCCTCATCTTCTTGTAAGCAAACAGAATGTATTAAATAACAATTTGCTATTTCCTGAGTTGATTCATTACAATTTTTAAGATGAATAACCATATAAAGAAGAAGTTTCAAGATTGAACAAAGTAGGTGAGTTTTGCCGATACTTAAAATTTGAAAACTTATCGCGTCAAGAATGCAACCTAGTTATTTAAACCCCTATATGAAGACTGGTCAATCAAAACTTTCCACCACTGTGATGACCAGCAAACTAAAACATTGCACATAATGCACAGCCAAGAATGCAATTTGAAACATCATAACCATGTGAATGTGTCAGTTAAGCATGGACTAACTGAAGGCAGAAAAAAGAGCAAATCACTCACTGAAGGGCGGAAAAAGAGTAAATCAAGTTTTCAGAACAATCTTGCGGGTACCGACCCCATGCAACCATAAGATGTCTAACAACCGTGATGTGAAAAACAAGATTGTTGATGTATCATATGTTCATTAGCCATGTTTGGTAAGACGAAGAACATACGCTTCAAAAGCCTCTGTCTTTCTTTTGATTTCACTAGACCACAGTACTGGATCAGCATTTCTTGGCAGTGCCTCCTGCTGATGGGATTTCTCTCGGAGCCATTGCTCTGCTTTATGGCATTCGTTAATGACCTGCAAAGAAAAAGTTCAGTTAAATCACAATGTCACAAGGAAGTTCCAGTGACCTGTACATGTTATATAAACAAAGTCATACGGCGTCTTTCTCACTGGCTGCAAGTGATCCTGCAGCCATCCGGTATTCCACAATGCTATTTAATAGATTTCGTGTTGCTTGTGCCCGCGCCTCTTCTTCCTTGTATCGATTCTCCACGGGATCCACCATCTAATAACAAATGGTTGATTGTGTCACTTCCAAACAGTTAATAGGCATAGGAAAAGCAAAACTAAACTCTACAACTAATACCAAATGACAAGAACCTTTTTAAGATCATCTAGCTTCTCCGCATAGACATGTTCAGACTCATCATCTCCATCTTCATAGAGCCATTCTTCAGTCTGCTGTAGATTACATGAGATACCCTCCCTCTCCGAATCCGTAGCAAAGCTCCGGTATGTATTCAAAAGCTATTAAAAAGATATTCAAGTAGATGCAAAAAGTAAAGGAAGTGGACCAAGATACTGATAACAATTAACTAAACAAAAACCAAATTAGCAAATGGCATATATCAAAATTGACATTTGGACACAAACGTCCATAACAAAATGACAAGGTAATAAATAGTGACAAAAAACTACTATGCATCAAGTCCAACATACGTTTATAAGTTATGAGTGTCACATACTGGTATTTGCAAAACAACCTTACTCAGGAGGAAGAATTAAAAATTGCTAGTAGTACTGCAAATTCAACAGTCCATCAAAAATTGGAAAAAGGCGACTTGTCAAGGTAAGGATAATGAGAAAGTAAAATTTTACATATATGTATTGACGCATTATCACTCCTCAACCTTCCGCTTCAGTGTGAAACTTTAATTTAAATATGAAAATGTTACATTCTTTCAAGGTGCATTCTTAACTTAGAAGTGTGAAACAAATCAGTTGAATACATTAGCACAACTTAACCTACTTCCCTGGCAGCTTTTGAAGAAAAGATCGTTACGAGACTTAAAATTTGATGTTATACCTTATTACGAGTTTCATAGACGTATGCCTCCAGGGTGTTTTTCTTATCTTTAGTTCGCTCCACCTTTATGTCTTGCTCAGCTAACTGGCATTCCTTTTCCTGAGCTTGGGATAGCTCCGCCAAGGTCATTCCACCATTGACACTTTCACTGACAGGTATATCCTGCCTCTTAACGGCCTTACTTTTTCTTGTATCATCTCCCTGCATAAAGAATCACATGGTTCCATTTACAAATAGCCAACTACACATTTACACAGCCAAAATGTTTCCAACCAAAGAATAATAAATGGCACACAAATGGAATAACATCTCACTGACATCCTAGCCTCAGGTACTAGTTTATGACCAACTTATCTAATTAGCTGACAACGGCTAAGTATACTACTTTTCGGAGGAAAATAAATAATCAATTACCCTAGAGTACTCCCTAACTAAAGTAATAGCGAGATTGCAACATCAATGCAAAAGAGAGAAGAGTAACTATGCAGTTTCTTCACTTCCATTAATGCAAATTCACCACATGATTCCTACATGAACTCAAAGACATGTCTTCAGAGGTTAACAAACAGGACCACCACAAAAGCTCATGGAAACTTTTTTCACTTGATTCAGTCAGGCCTAGTTGTTCAAACTCCAAGAGAATTAATTACTATAGATTAGAAGAAGCAAAATGAATCACAATGATCCCTTCGTTCTAAAATAATCTAAAAAAAGAATCTGGCATGCAATATGACTAAAATTAAACACAACGTGTGTCTACCGTGTAAATAATTTAGTCATAAAAGGTCAAATGCTTCCATGTAAACATGGACTACTAAATCGAGTACAATGGCCAATCAAATGACTAATATATATATTATTCAAGAAATGCAATATCTTGAATCCTTTTGTTTTCATATTTTAAAATCAGTATCTTCATAAAAATCATATTGTATTCCTTATACAATATCCAACCTGGATATTGTACTCCCATATCCAGAAGATGAACGTAGCTGAAATGAGGATGTTGCAATGGATGGCGAGCACACTACGTTGGATAGGATTAGGAATGAAGACATTCGGGAGAAGGTGGGCGTGGCCCCCACGGAGGATAAGATGCGAAAAGCGAGGCTTAGATGGTTCGGGCATGTGAGAAGGAGAAGCTTAGATGCCCCAGTGAGGAGGTGTGTACGATTGGCTCTGGCGGGTATGAGAAGTGGTAGAGGGCGGCCTAAGAAGTATTGGGCAGAGGTGATCATGCAGAAAATGGCACGACTTCAACTTACCAAGGACATGACCCTTGATAGGAGGGTAGGGAGGTCGAGGATTAGAATAGAGGGGTAATAGGTCGTAGTATGTTTCTCTGGTCCGTTCCGGATTTATTAGGACCTAAGTTGCTCCGACACGACAATTTATTAGCCGCACCCGTGTCGACATGACACTAGTATGGGTGTGGGTATGGGATCCGTATCGGGTCTAGTCAAACAATTTTGGGTACTTTGACCACGACGGACGGAAAAATTCGAGACGAGATACAATTTGATTCCCGAAATCAGAACCAAAAATAGGGTAAATTTGAAGAAAATAGCATACCTTATCTAGAAAATCAATCATTTACTTAACTACAACTTGAGAATAAAAAAGAAATTCACGTTTTACAAACTATCCGTAAGTATTCCACAAAATTTCTCATAGTTTAGAGATATTTTTATATTAATTTTTTTTTTGAATTATTTTTAGCCAAATCCTGGCACCCGTATCCGTACTAGGATCTGTATCCCCCAATCTTAGAATTCACATCACGAAGGATCCGACCTCTAGATCTGCACCGGTGTCGGACACCCGCACCCGTGCCCGAGCAACTTAGATTAGGACTAGTCTGCTAGTACCTTGTCGTTGTTCCTAGATTGCTAGTATTACGGCTATTTCTTACTATCTTCTGCTTTGGTTTTCTAGTATCTTGTCGTGGTTACTGTTTGTTGCTATTGCTAATGCTATTGCTTTCTTCCATCTATTTTTTTTTTCTAGTTCTTATATTGTTGTTATCATTTTTCTGGCTATTGTTGTTGATATTTGATTGTTTTCTATTCATCATCTCGAGCCGAGGATCTTTCGGAAATAGCCTCTCTACCTCCCCGGGGTAGGGGTAAGGTTTGCGTGCACATTACCCTCCACAGACCCCACTTGTGGGATCCCACTGGGTTTTTTGTTGTTGTATTCCTCATCCAAAAAAAAAACATATTGCATTTCCCCAAAGAAGATAAAAATGTCAAATATACCATTTAAATGGATCAACATTTTATAACTAGTTATAGGAAGCATAAAAACATATTTGCACTAACGACTGTAAATTGATAAACATGCGACCTTTGGGGATCTCTGTACTCGGATAGTGCCTCTCTAAATCAATCTCGGAGATGGGAATGTTTCAATTTTAGGCCTGGTTGTATTCTGACAAAATATGCTTAAAACAAATTGAATTCTGGTATTCATTAAATAATTTTTTGAGAAAAAAACAATAAATAAAGTTATGCCACGTTGTTGAATACTCCCTTCCTACCTCTATTTCGTTCCAAATCTAAAGTCAGTCAATCAAATTTTAAGGACTTTTTCTTTTAACAGAAAAGTCTACGAGCTCTAAAGAGGTAACTAACACCATTATAATAGTTCATATTATTTTGAGTTTTAAGTACTATTCTTTGAATTATGCGACAACGTCATCTAAAAGTCTAAATGGATAAAGAAAAAATTAATTTGTTTAACTATTTATTTATTTAGGTCTATAACACACCTCCTCACGTGTCAGATCTGATTCTTCTAAGTGAGTCAAGCACATAGAAATTTCTTCCTTGATGGATGCCGGTGAGACTCCAACTTGTGATTTAAGCCAAAGTTGTGCGTGGAACTAGTAAAATCGTACCTGCCTTCCAATTCTTGATGTATGGCGAGATTACTTACCACTCTATATCTAATGGCAAGTTGAATTATGTGAACCGCCTCATTTAAAAGCTTGAACTATTAGAGAGGGGACGCATTATTTGTTTATTTATTTAGATCCACAGCATATATAGTTTCTTCACATTTAACTGACTATCTAAGCAAATCTTCAGCAAATTCAAGCATTAAAATATAATCATATCTTTGGGATAGACAAGAGTTTCATTTGTAAAGAAATGGAATATTTGCAACTTGAACATTGAGTATTTAAAATTTATCAATTGAAAAGTAAAATCAAAACTCTAATCATTTCTCAAAGTGTTGATTTACTGTAAGTCTGTAACTCGGTTATTTCACTGCCATTTACATTCATCATTAAGCAAGTCTTTTGCATAATTCATTCTACTACTTTTTGAAATTTACTCGCTAGGAGTAATGACTATAGAGTTAAAACTTCACTTGATAGCAGCAAAAGCTAGGATTTCAACATGAACTTTGATATATCAATTTGGAGACCGTGTCGAATTATTCATGGAATATCACATATATCATCTGTTTGTTTATCATATTGACCATGATTAATACTGTCTTATTCTATTTGACCTGATCTCTATTCACGGAGTCAAACAATCAAGACCATAGAATATGATTTTAACTTCCCAAATATATTTGACAAAATATAACGAGTCACTTTGTATGTAGTTCTCAAATTTGTAAGTATTATTAAAAGAATGCAAAGTCAAGTACTAGATAGAAAATTGATTGAGCTACTTGTTTTGTTTTCACCATGTAAGCTCTGGCTGCTTTCATAAATAATAGGGCGCTTATGTTAGGGGGATCAATTCTCCTAATGTTTTTATCTTATGAAGAATCGTGCCCTCTCAGGTCCCAACTGTTGTCGACCATTTGAAATCACACAAGGCTAAGGTCCTAGAGGAGGACCACTTCGCTTGACTAGGAAAAGCAAAGAACGAGATGAATGTCTCTCGTATATACTACTCTAACTTAAATGGGAGAGGTGCCCAGACCAGCTTCATACCTCATGTGATCCATTGAACAACCTACGACAGCCTATAAGTATTGGGTAATCATGGTCAGTGGTCACTCGGGCTAGAACAGATGGGCTCATGCGAGTGTTACAGCTTGAAGTCAAATCTAGAATCTTCAGGTTCTTACTCATGCCTCAACAATTCAATCAACCATCTCTATGGGACAAAGTACAAGGTAAATCTCTCTTAATTTTCTCTTTTCAATAAAATTACATATTTTAAAAGCTACATAAAAAGGTATTATCATTTTCAATTTTTATAGTTATAAATATAAAAATTGCTTGACAAAAATGTAATAAAAGAAAGAAATGCTTGAACCACGATATAGTAATTCTGTCATTCTTTTTGGAGATAAGGGACTAATAACTTCGAATGCCCGCCAAACCACTAGTTCTCTTAACACAGTGGTCCAAACAGAACCAGAAAAGAAGCAAATTTAAGCAGTGATTTCAAGAAGTACCAGATGATAATTTAACTAACCTTAAAGCAGAATGTGCAGAGTAACTATCATCAGTACCATATAACACCAGAAGTTTCACAATTACTTACCTCCATATCTTCTGCATGAGTATCAGTATTATTTTCCGAAGTAGAATGACTTGTTTGATCTTTGATCAGCTGAAGAGATGACAAAATGCAGTAACAACTCGGGTTTACATCTTCAAGTATTTTGATCAGGTGAAGGGATGACAAATGCGGTAATGAATTTCCATACTATGAAATTGATACTTACCCAGGCCGATTCTACCGTAACAATTCCATGGAGGTTCAATTGAATTTTGACTTTAATCTTTGCTTTTTCAGAATGAGGAACCTGGAATGGGCCAATCTGACATAAGAAAAAGATACAGCGTAAGCTTAACTGACAAATTGGGGAGTCAACCCTGACATTAAGAATGAGTGCATCAATATCAAATTCTTAGACACTTAGCAAAGGCATGTCTCTGGCATCAATTTTAATTACTTGAACTGCCCAAACAAGATTAATTTTATAGGTAAGTATTCTCCTCAAAATGATGCATATCAAGATTCGGCAAGGAAGCAGTAAATGGATAACCTGCCTTCTTAAGCAATGAAAGAAAAGACTTAATGCTACAATTTTCCTCAGCTTCTAGATTCGCCAACCACAGAGATTTGGAAAGACACAGGTGTTTGATAACTCCTTTTACAGCATATGATTAGATCCTGATAGATGCATGATCGCATAAAAGACATAATTAAAAGGTGTCCTTTGTTCATATTCAACATGAGTATTAACATTAAACATGCAACATGTTGGTGAGCTCTTAGGGAAATAGGCTAGCAGAAAGCCATCTTCCTATCCTCTAACTGGAATTTTGAAATCTTCATAACAATTATCGTCTCTGTGTTCAGAAATAATATAATTAAGTAAAAGTATGCTCTCTAACTAATTAAGCTTTCAGATAAGGTGGTCACAAAATTCAGCCTGGTTGCAGAGCCAGATGCATCTTTATTCTTGGTTTACCGAATATTAGAACCCTATGTTATGTTATGCATGCTTGATATGTCTAGGCCTGGCTGTGGAAGGGTGTTAAAGTGTCCCACATTGGTTGAGAGAATAGGTTGTCTTCTCATTATATGGTTTTGGGCATCTTCACTGCATGAGCTACCTTTTGGGGATTGAGTTAGACCCGGGGTCCATTTTCTTAACATGCTTAAAAAACTAGCACAAACATCGACCATAACTTTTAAATAGTTACAACAAAAATCATTGTAACCTCCAAATTAATCTCAGATGTCTAGAAAGTTTTCCTAGAGACTTAAACCCCAAATGACCTTACCAAAGAAAAAAAGATTTAGGCCCTGAAAGATACTTCCCTTCTCTTATTTTATACCTTGAAGATTTATCCAAGTTAGACAGCGAGAATTTGACTGATATTTGAAAGGGTAAATGAGGGCAACTAAACTCCTAAAGGAATAGGTCATTGGAGAAACTGAAATCCTACAAATTGTAGTTGACTCCTAGCTTAGCTTCAATGCCATAACTGAATTTGTAGTACAAATTGTGACGGGGACCAGGGGTTTATGTAGTGGCTCACCAGCAATGTCTAGCTATTAAATCTTGAATCTCAAAAGTTGGCTGATGTACATTAGCTATGAACACGCGCAATCCTTTATTATTATTTGTTTATAGCTGAGAAGTCCAGATAGCCAATGGCGCACGGTTCGAAACTCAGTGGACAATGGGCCCGCCCTCTACCCTAGACTGTTCAAATTTAGCCAACAGATTAAGTTAGATTTTATGTCTTACTTTTCTGGGGGCACATTGCCGAGCAAAACTGCTTCTGGGACTGGTACAGAGAGGACGTTTTTAAAGCGGGCTCCTCATTCATTAGATAGAGAAGATCACCAAGATTTTGCCATATAAAGATGCTAAGCTACTGGGTAGTGCATGTAGATTTTAAACTCACAATGAAACGTTATATAATCTAATAATTCCTGTAGACATTTAGTTGACTTATTGAATTCTACCTTTTCTTTTGCAATCTACTTACCTTTTCTTTTGCAATCTACTTACCTTTTCAGAAATATAATATAACAGATATATAGAAAAATCCATCAGGAGAAGACTCCTCTTTCAAGGGATGCATTATTGGGAGAAAACCAAGAAGGAAAGTGAACAACTAATTTGGGTTACAAGAAGTCAAGAACCCGTAACAAACAATGTTCTGCTGTATATAAGTTCTCAAAGGTGGTTTGATGGGCTGTACCAAACTCGGATTCTGAGAGATCTTTAAGTTGTAACCTCAGCAACTAGAACTAACTAGTTTAGAGTAATCCAACTATCCAAAATCATTCCTAACATAATCAAGAAAATTAGATCAAATGTGATTTTTTTTAATGACGAAATCAAATGTGATATAATACGTCTTGAACTCCCAAATAAAGCTTGGGAAATAAAAGTGTTTCTATTAGTATGGGCAAAGTAAACTGTACCGTAGATTTGCTTATTTTATCGGATACACCTGGTGGCAACTCATTCTGGTTAGTGTAGAAAGCCTCCAAGTTGAAACAGCTGCTCCTATGCAATGTGAGCACTTTCATGCTTGGAAAACTATGGCCCTTTGGAAACAATATGCCATTTGATAGGGTGCAAACTGGGCCCTCATCAGATGCAAATCCAATGGAGAAAGGAAATGAATCCTGAACCTGCAAATGAAAGATTTTTGAACTTACAATATGATGAAACCAATAATCAGACGAAAATATTTCATGCACTTCACAATTGGTTGTGCCAAATCTACGACTCGGTACACTTATGTTCTGTTACTGTAATTCTCTGGACATCTTTTTTTATTGTTGCTTTGCAAAAGTAGTGGTTGTGAGATGAATTTTAGGTTTTAGGAACCTATTCATGATGGGCCTTAAGCATTAAAAAGCATCATTATGATGCAGATGTAATAAACTGTCCCTAATGCATAATAACTTTTTTCTCTTTTTAGTACTTATAAAAAAAAATCCTCCTTTTAGTTATTTCAAATGTACTTCTGATTTATTACAAAAAAAAATTAAAAAAAATACTAGAATTAGTAACAAAATGCTTGTAGTAAAGTAAAAGAGTTTTTTAAAAAAATAATAAGGAGTGTATTCTACAAATTCAATATCAACAAGTTTCACTCATATGCTTGATCTAGCTATTCATCTTTCCCTACTCAAAGCCTTCGGTGGTCACTCTGCCTGGTTCCAACTTCCAAACAAGACTAAGTCAAAAGATGTGCTAGATCACGATCTCTTACCTGCATTTTAATCTCCCTAAAATGCTTCAATATCAACAAGTTTCACTCATATGCTTGATCTAGTTATTCATCTTTCCCTACTCAAAGCCTTCGGTGGTCACTCTGCCTGGTTCCAACTTCCAAACAAGACTAAGTCAAAAGATGTGCTAGGTCACGATCTCTTACCTGCATTTTAATCTCCCTAAAATGCTCTCTGCCACGATGAGTATTACAAACTCTGACTTATCAATTCTTAACAGGTATGGTTCTCATAACTCAATAAATTATTTCTTTTGGTTTTATGTGTCTTTTAACAGCTAACTATATTGCTCCCCGGCGTAATATTTTGGCTTTCTGAAGTAGTGTATTAGAGCAGGTATTTCGAAAGTCGCTTAATTTCTCCATGGTCTTTGTAGTCTAATGAATTTTTCATTCCTTCGTATCTTCTGAAGTAGTGAATTAGCAACATGATCTGCTGGAGTGGCCATTGCGATACTAAAGTCGCTTAATTTATCCATGTTCTTCATCGTCTAATGAATTTTTCATTTTCTTCATGTCTTCATTCATTACTCAAGTATGTTTTTCTGATATTTGTTCTATTAACTGCTGGAATACTATTTCAGTGATGAATCTTCTAGAATGGTCTATAGCCACGAAAGAGGTTGTTTATACAAATAGAGGTTTTTACATCATACAACTTCAAACTCCCGCAGAAAAAGAGAATTGAATTAAAAAACAAAGAGAGAAAGAGAGAAAAAAACTTGAGACATCTAACATCATTACCATATTCATCACATTAATTGAGAAACTTAAGTAAAACCAGCCCATGAGAGTATAGAAATTTTTGTTTCTTGGGCCATTAAAACTAAACACCCCCTTTTGACGAAGGAGCAATCTTATCCATATAGAGCTTCTAATCTAATTTGGGCAAATCAAATGCTAACAGGAAACAGAAAGCAATTCACAGCCATACTGATCATAAATATTAGATTACATCACAAACCTCGTATTCTCTAACACGAAATATAGGGCTGAGCATTGCACATTGAAGAGCACATCCACGTGCAACACACTCACTAGCATTTATTGTCCGCCCAGGTTCTTTTCTGAATAGCGAATTTAAAATTCTTCCTACAGCTGGAATTCTAGAGCCTGATCCTACAAGCTCAAGAGTATGAATCCTGTCAGCAGTCAAACCAGAATCAAGCAAAGCTTTACGACAAGGAATGCTTATCTTCTCCAATAAATCTGATGAAAGCTTCTCAAAGTCCNATTCCTTCGTATCTTCTGAAGTAGTGAATTAGCAACATGATCTGCTGGAGTGGCCATTGCGATACTAAAGTCGCTTAATTTATCCATGTTCTTCATCGTCTAATGAATTTTTCATTTTCTTCATGTCTTCATTCATTACTCAAGTATGTTTTTCTGATATTTGTTCTATTAACTGCTGGAATACTATTTCAGTGATGAATCTTCTAGAATGGTCTATAGCCACGAAAGAGGTTGTTTATACAAATAGAGGTTTTTACATCATACAACTTCAAACTCCCGCAGAAAAAGAGAATTGAATTAAAAAACAAAGAGAGAAAGAGAGAAAAAAACTTGAGACATCTAACATCATTACCATATTCATCACATTAATTGAGAAACTTAAGTAAAACCAGCCCATGAGAGTATAGAAATTTTTGTTTCTTGGGCCATTAAAACTAAACACCCCCTTTTGACGAAGGAGCAATCTTATCNAAGCACGTCTCTGTAAATCAGTGAAGTACGAAGGTATGCCAATAACGCAATCCGAAACATCCATTTCAAGATTCTTCTCAGCAATCTGCTTCAAATGTGCAAATAGCATTGCCATAATCTGAACAGGAGTGAAACTCTGCTTCTCATTCATGTACTGCAAATGAATCAAAATGCCACCATCTGGTCCCTCAGAGGTCGCGAATGGAAGCAATTTCAGGTCCATCTGAACAGCAGGCTCCCTATATTTCCTACCAATCAACCTCTTAACCTGCGAAATAGTTGATTTCGGGTTCATAGTGGCCGATGCAGCTCCAGCCGAGCCAATGAACCTTTGCTTCTCACCAAATGACACCACTGCCGGCGTCTCTCGTTTCGATTCATCGTTTAATATTACATCAATGCCACGTTGCTTTGCAAATGCTATAACACAGTTTTCATTTCCAACATCAAACCCAACTACACTCATTTTCAGCCAAACTTAGCTATATATCCTTCCAAAAACAAAGCTCTATACACAAATTGAACCAGACCTAATACCTAATGTCAAATCATCACAGATAGCAGAACACAAAAATTTTCAAATTGAACCAATCAAACCTGGAAAAAAAATTGACAAAAGAACATAAATACCAAAATTCAACGTGAAATTCACCGAAATTACGTGATGCCATGAAAATCAATAAGCATAATACGTATTACTTGTTAGAATACGTGCATTCGAATTTATACGAAATACATGGATACGGAAGCTAAGAATGAGGAAGTATATGAATTGAAAGTACCTGATTTGAGAGGGAAACAGAGGAAACCCTAACAAGGAAGAAGTTGATGGTCGTCTATGGATGCAAAAAAAGCGAAAGTCTCCGAATTGTTTGTCAGATGAAAGAAAGCAGAACTTTTTTGAAAATATATTCCATTATTCGTTGTCTACAGCATTACATTCTTATTTTTACAATAACTCCGAAAATAACCTTCGGGGGAAAAAGAAAAGAAGAAAAACTCCGAAAATTGTACAACGTATATTTTATTTTGCATTTGAGTCAGAAGTATTAATTATTCTCATTTTCCTTTTTCTGATCCTTTACTTAAACCTTGAGGGGGAAAAGAAAGGAAGAAAAACTCGAAATTGTACAACGTATATTTTATTTTGCGTTTGTGTTAGAACTTAGAAGTAGTATTAATTATTTCATTTTCCTTTTTCTGACCCTTTACTTTAATTTCCCTCTTCTTCTTTTGTTTCCCATTCTTTTCCCTTTTCTTTAGTGGGAAGCTGAAGGTGAAAAAAAGATTTAAGAAGGCAAGAAAACATAATTGAATTGTGTAAATTGTCCCATCTGAAGTGGTGTGATTGTCTTGTCTAAATTTACGTCTGGTCTATTTTTTTAATTTAGTAAGAATATAAATATTTTATTGATAAATAATAATGAGACTCGACCACAAATTCTCTAATTTATTTAATATTATATTGAATTAGATTCATCATCTAATTTACATAAAGTATTCAGATATTATTATATCTGAATACTTTTATTTTTAAATTGTTTGGTCTATAGTAGCAATAATTATAAACATTATTTAGAATGACAAGTTACCATTCTTTAAAAGTTTGATTTCAAAATAACTAAATCTTGATATTATTATTGTGAGAATTAATTAGTTCAAACTATCAAATCTTATTATTTGAGGCATACTCAATCTTACATACTCTAAGCTTCTTATTTTCATCGTTCTTTACACTAGAGATCCATTGTCGTGACAAAAAGAACGGAAAAAACATTGGAAAATGAAACTTAAGAAGGAAACATCATTGAAGAATTTACCCAAATATCAGTCGATCTAAACTCTTAAATTAAAAATAGCTTGCGGACGTATAATATATGTATAATTGTGTTTAATCCATGTATAATATATGTATACCGACTAGAAATTATAGAAATGACGTGGGATAGCCACTTTTTAACATGGTATTTTATTTTTATCCAGTATTTTTAATGCTTAGCAAAAATAGCCACTACTCTATTAAAATTAATACGAAAAGACGTTTTTACCATTTCTTCATGAGTGATGTGTAAATATTAAGAACATGGTGTCCTTAACATTTACACTGCACATATGAAGTCAAGGATATGATATCCTAAAGTTTAACAACGGAATGTGCAAATACAGGACACTTTGTCCTTAATATTTACAAAGTATTCATGAAGTTAAGGACACTATGTCCTTAATATTTACACTGCACACATGAAGTTAGGGACACTATGTCCTTAACATTTACACTACACATATAAAGTTAAGGATATGAGGTCCTAAAGTTTAACAACAAAAGGTGCAAATACAAGTTAAGGATATTATGTCATTAATATTTACACTGCACACATGAAGTTAAGGACGTCGTGTCCTTAATATTTACACTGCACATATGAAGTTAAGGATATGATGTCCTAAAGTTTAACAGCGGAAGGTGCAAATACAAGATACTTTGTCCTTAATATTTACATAACATTCATGAAGTTAAGGACGCCACGTCCTTAATATTTACACAGCACCCATGTCTAGCACATGGGTATCTTCGTCTGGGCGGGTAAAAGTTTATTAAGCACCGGCTAAAAAGTAACTACATTTTAAACAATGGTAAAGAGTAAAGACATCTCTAATTAGTGGCTAACTGTGCATTTCTCCCAAAAAATAAACATTGAATCTGGCCAATTACTTATAAACTAAAGCCCATTTGAAGATTGTATTACGAATCCTCGAGGCCCAATGAAAGTTTTCAGGCTAGAAAGTAGTCAGCTACATGATATACCCAATCTATTATAATAATACCTATTTAGAAAAAGCAAAAATTGATATTATTTTTGCTACAAATAGCTAATTGGCTAATATTAGTAATATTTTATGAATTGACCAATTTTTATAATAAGTTACTTATAAATAGACATAGCCGGTAGTTTCCCCAGTAGAAATGTCATGGGCTGGCCACTTTTGTAACCTTGTTATTTAAAGTTTAGCCAATCTTCTAAATCATGTGCAAGAATATCCAGTTTGTTGTTACATGAAACTTCAAACGAAACTGTAAAATATGATTTATTGCAGAGTCATTTTTTTAGCAGCTCCATTGTGTAGCCACAAATCAAACATTGGAAAAGTAGTTTCGTGGCCAAGAAGTCCATTTAATACTTCTAGTCGTTAGAAGTTTTTATTAAAAAAATATTGTTAGTGTGAAGTGCCTCTTTTTTCTGTTTTTTGGAGCTGTATGTTCTCAATTTTGGTAATAAAAGTGTTTATTTACCCAAAAAAATCCTCATCATCTTCTCACTTTTTATTAACCTCACCAAAATTTCTTCACATACCTTTTACTTGTTATCTTTTACCATAAAATTTTGGTTTAACACAACACATTATCTTGGTAATCTTCAGAAAATTACATATAAAGCTAATTGCCGTGTCCCCGTTTGCATTTCATCAATAATTGAACTAAACGAGTAAATTGATGAAGTAGCTTTACACGGTCACAAGCCACAACTCACAAACAGAGGCTGCCCAATTTAATTAACAAAACCCTACAAGCACGTACTCATGGGAAGCTGTTTGTGTTCAAAAAGAGAGAAACGAGTAAATAATTTAGAGACAAGATTTTCTCCGAGTGAGACTTCAATAATTCAACATATTAAAGAAAAAAATAGAAAATTTATTAGACAATGAAAATTAAGGTTTAGTGTCAGTTTTAACGTTAATATTGAAACCACACCAAACCCATGTGGCACATGATTTTATTTTAATTAAGAAGAAAATAAGTTCTATTTATTGCACATGACGGAGGATTTTAGAACATGGATTATGGATAGTATTGGCAAAGGGTCTAAAGAACTTTTTCTATTAAAAAGAAAAGAAAGTATTAATAGGTTGGATAATAAATGGGTAAGGGTAGGTGATGTTATAAATCTGTACGGCTGTACCCACTAGGGCAAAATTAATGTAAGGGGACAGTCCCAGCCCCAATTGTGTTGGAAGAGGACTGATTGTATGGCCAAAACCTAGCTGGAAAAACTTGTTGCAGTTGCAGCTTTTGCTTCCGATGATAATGTGAACTTGATCTATATATCAACTCTTATTGCAAGGCCACGTACGTTGTTGATCTAATTATGCAAAGGAAAGAGGTGTTGAAAGCCACCTCCGACAGGGCACCCCACCGTCATTGTTAAGCTAATTAAGGTGATCAACCAAAGGATGATTTGTGAAGCCATGATCACTTGAACTATAAGTGCCTCACCATAAAAACATTTAGGTGATTTTATTTCATTAATTAATGCTAGTAGGTAAAAGGGTTCGGTCGAACTCAATAACTTTAATTCAAACCATATATTTATCTTTAAAAGTTTATTGAATATGTACAAATTATTACTAATTTAAAACCCACTAACTTAAAAGAATACTCTCTTGTGGATAATATTTTAGGTATTAGATAAAATAGTTGCACAAATTGGCTAGTACTCAGAAAGACAAAAAAAATGAGGACTATAGTATATATTCAAAATATGAGAAGAATAGGTCGCTACACGTCTTCACCAACTCCAGACATTGTACCTTTTGTGGACAAACATGCTAGGCATTTGCTAATGCTTTTGCTTCTTTTTCTCTTGCAATTAGAGACTTGCCATACATGTTTAGCATGTTGCATTCTCTTTTTTGGGTACAAACGTGTTACGTCATAGTTAGATGATGTGCTAGCTAGGAGGATTATGTTTACCGTTTGTCAAGTAATTTCACCGTTTGTCAAGTAATTTCACTCCTAATTTTTCTTACATCCTCTTTAACAAGATCATATGAGAACTCAAATACTCGTACACTCTCAAATTAGGGAAAATGAGTATATTTAACAGAAAAAGTTAATTAGTTGACCGCGCTAATTTGGAAAAGCTTTTTCGTTTTCTTTTCTTTAATTGTAGGTCCAAGATTTTGGTTTGAGAAAAAAACAATGGGGAAAACAGCTTTGGAGAATAGGGAAAGCCAACATAGGTACATGTGTATTCACAAGTTGGAATTAATCATGCAGGTCATGTTCTTGTTTCTCTTTTAGTTATACTAGTACTAAGGCTAGATATTCAAAGAAGATAGTCAATAGATCGACCAACTGCCCAAACCTTACTGTCACGGCACGAAATAGCTAGAAATTTTCACCATATTCTTTTCATAAGCTGATAATATACCAGGTGCAGATTAACTTGAGTGAGGATTTATTAATAGATGGCAAATCTAACGATATTAAATATTACACTATTAAATACAAATTAATTTGACCAAATAATTCCAATGTTAGTCTAGCTAAGAAGTAAGAACTAAACAATTAAGAATTGAGTGGTAGTTCATTGGTACACTAATATATATCCTACAGATATAAAATTTGATTCTCACTTCACTCTTTTCTTTACCTTCTCCTGTACCAAAGTAACCGGACTTCCCACCCTGAAATAAATAAAAGAAAAAGGAACCAACCAATGGTCCATTTTCCTATCCCATGTACAACAAACTGGAAAAGAAAATCCGAGGCAAAAGCTTATGGTACAATTTAACAAACTAAGGCACCAACAACAGCTTATATATTCACACTAATATATTCTTTTTCTTACCAAAATAGTCAAAAACTCAACATGCCCGAGAATTTATTTACCTAATTAAAGATATCAAATTCGAAGGCACCAAAAATTGATTGGGCAACCCATTTGTGGGGTAAGAAAAAGAAATAGTCCACTGCTGTTTCATTTGCTGCTGTTTCTTTTCTTGGTATGTACTACTATGAAATACTCTGAATTATGGTCATTCATCCGTTTTCTCCATCAAAAAGAGGAGGGTGGGGGCGAGAAGAAAGAACTAGTTTGACATATTAAACTTCAATTCAAACATAAATCAACAAAACAGATTAATGGAATTAGATTTCTGAAAGAACATCAGGAAATTGATTGTATTGAAAATCTATATTTTCAGAAAGGGTGAAACCATGTATTTGTATATATGTATAATC